GTGTACCGTCTCTCTTTGTTAACAATCCTAAACTGTTTTGGTCGACTCTGTCAAGGACCCTGTTTATTCTCGCTATATCTTGCAGTTTTTTCAGTCCCTTGCAAAAGCGTCTCTTTTCGATTTCTTTTTTGCCTCTCGAATCATTTTGCCTAATTTCAATTCTGCTCTGCGCAGCTTCCTCTTGTCACTTGTTCTGTTCGTTCTACGAGCTCTTTTCTTTAGCTTTTTACATCTTTCATCCAACTTTTGCAGGCTTGTATTCCACCATGGGAGTTTACCATGAAAACCTTTTGTTTTACAGATCAATGCTTCGTTTGCCGCGTTCGTTATCGCGCTCGTCACGTGTTCTAGGTAAGTATCGATTTCTTGCGGAGTGCCATAAACTTTTGGAGGGTCGGTCAATTTATCTTTCAATGTTTTCAGGTAACATTCCACATTCAACGATTTCTTCTCGCTTACGATTCTGTTCGTTGGAATTCCTCGGATCTTCAAGGTAAACGTGATATATCTGTGATCTGATAATGATGGATCGTCGAGTACTCTCCATTCTTTCATCGCCGGGCGGATCTCCGACCAAGTCAACGTTACATCCAGTATTTCCTCTCTAATGGACATGCTGAACGTCGGTCGCGTTTGCGTGTTTTTACCTTTCTTGGGATGGGTTCCCATCTCTCATCGTGTTTATAAGTTTCCCTGTAAAAAATTTTCGTATAATTCTCATTTGTCTTTTTGTCTCTAAATTCAGATAGTTTCTTTTAATATATGTGCTCCCTACTCACCTGTAACATCTCTTCTTTTTGTCTATATGTTTTAACTTCTTGTGTTGTTTTTAGTACCTCTGGGTTATTGTTAAGCCAGCGGGATCAGTTTTATTTATTCTTTGTTGTAGTCTTTTGTCTTGTTTTCTACGTTTGGCTGCGTTGGCCCGTATTAAATTGTTCCTATTCTTCTATCCGCCATTTTCATGGGAGGGACGAATCCTCCCCTTTTCGCCTCAGATACTTTCATTACGTTCCGGTCGTTTTAATCGCCTTTGTCTTTTCCGCCTTAGTATTAGAAATAGAATTCTCTGTTATTGTTGCTTATTGTTATCATTTCTTTATTTTCTTTATAGGTATTTGTTAAACGGTATTGTTTTCTATTCTGTTAATAATAATTCATATATTGGGATTTCTCTCTAATCTGTGTTCTTTTTTTATGTATAATCTGTCTATTGTAGTGGATTTTGGTCATATTACCTGTCTGTCCCTGGATATTTTTTGTATTTCCATTTAGTCGTAGGTCAGCGTCATGTCTTTAATTGACTTGCGTTGTATCATTATTGCGCATTAAGCAATGTTTTCCGATGTGATTATCTTTCGCGCCGTTCATTTAAGCGGTTGTGAATTACTGTGTTTTTAGAGGAGAGTCTCTTTTTCTATTCGCTGACAGTTCTGCTACTTCTGTGTTTATTTATGATAGCTGTATTTGTCGGGCGATTCCTGCAATTTTATTCATATGATTAGTTCTTTTCTACTTACTTTTTGTTGTTCAATTCTGTTGCTGTTTCATTTCGTGTTCGATGTTACATTTTTCCGGTTGATTTTTTATTCCGTTCACAGATGCGTTTCGCGGTTAACTCACTCGGAAATCGCAAGCTTCTTTCATGCTCCAGTCTTTCGTATTTCACTTCTCAATTTCAGATTATTTCACGAGACACCTCACTTGTCACTATTCTGTTCGCTGGGAATTTGTTATTCATTTTGTTCGTTAATGATTCGTCCGAATAGATTGACCAGATTGACGATCCAGCTGAGATCGATCCGAGCGTAGATCGATGCTCAGTATCCTGATTCGTCGTTTTCAGTTCGAACTTTCTTGATCCCATCCTCTGTTTCATGTGATGATTCTTTTTTCGTGCATCCGGTTTTTATTAGTATGCCGTTTCTCATCCTTTTCACGAAAGATTTCCATATCTCGTTTGTTGTTTTTATCTTCGTTCCTTTTGTCCTTTTCAGCGTGTTAGATTTGCTGTTCATGTTCCCTGTTCGAATGGTCCACTTGCTCTAACGATATTGCTCTCGTTTCATTCATCTCGTGATCATGCTCCGCCCCTCTATTGTGTGCATACCGGCCGGGGTGCTCAACCCATGCCAGGCCGATTTCTTCCCTCGCAACTCATTTCCCCTGCTTCCATTCGTATTTCTATCCCCACTACTTTTCTCCTCTTATGCTTTCGATGACCATGCTAGGCATTCCTATGCTTGGTGTCGGTCGTTCCGTGTTCGGATTATCCCCACTATTTGATCGGGGCGAGAATTGTCTCGGTATCGTGTACAACTCACTCTATTTTAAGGACGCGCGTCCTCTCCTCTCCTTGTGATTTTCAATCCAATTTCGGGGTTTTTCCTCGTTTCTTTCTGGTTTGAGCTGAATATTCGACCCTCTATTTCAGTCTAGTTCAGATATTAAGGTTAATATTATGTATTATTTATTGTGTATACTTGATGCAGGATTTTTAGGTATTGTTTGTTCTTACTGTACTTTTCTCTTTCTATTATGAGTTTCTTTCTTTTAGCATAGCATTTTCCATTTTTCCGTTTTCCGTGATTTTGTCCCTTTGTGTTTCCCGGCATTAATCGGTCACGTGTGTCTCATTTTCTTTGTTGCAATTATTGTTTGTTAAGGATGTTTTACGGTTATCCTAGTAGGATTTTTTATCCTTGGGATTAATTTCGTTCGTGGTTAGTGTCATTCCTTCTCATATTTTAGTCGTTATCGTTTCTTTGCGATTAATAGCATTTTATTTATTTATTTATTTACTTGGGCATTTATAAATCTTTGTCGTTGGTTTGTTTTGTGATCCTTTCTTTTCTCCGCGGAGTCGGTTGATGCTGGTTTCGTCGTGGGTTTTGTACGGTGTTCGTATAGTTTGTTTAACGCATGTTAATTTTGAATTTTGAAATTTTTGAGGGGGGTTCAGGGTTTTTCATCTATGTTGTTTTAGTCTGTGTTGTTCATGTTTTGAGGCGGTTTGACCTAATTTTCTTTTCTCTTTCGTTGTTATCAGCAGTTTCCTCTTGTGTATGTGTTCGAGACCGGTTTCTCTTTCTTTTTGTCGTTTAAGTTTCGCGCGTCGGGAATTTCGGTTCACGCTCTTTTTACTCCATACCTTTGGCGCCATGTTGGGCCCATGTTTATGCCTCTCGTATCTTAACCTATAAGTGTCAGGTTGTTATTCGTTGACCATTTGATCTTGATTTTTATGAACTCTTGCTTTAATTATGGTTGTAAGTCATCATTTTGGATTTTTATTTACAACGATGTATGAATTGATTAAGATTTTTTACAGGTTCTGGCTTTCGAGAAGGATGAATCATTGATTTGGACGAACGGCGAGCCGGGTGATCTGTTTTATTGGAGATATTCGTAATGTTTGTCAAAGTTAATAATAATAATAATGACAATAATCGAGGAATCGATGTTAATTTCTAAGGAAGTCTCGGGCGTTTGTTTATCCGGTAGGTCATTTATTGCCTTCTTATAAGATACTTTCACATATTCAATTTCTTCATTCAAAAATTGCAATTATGTTTTAATGACGTGAAAGAATGTAAATTATCTTCAAGTCTTTAGAAAGTTTGCACAGCGAGCACTACTCGGAGGCACGATTCAGACTGCATTTTCTCTGATATATTCTCCTTGTAGATCAGACTTAAGAGTACCTGATTGATTACTGCATGATGCACAAGCAGACCTGGAAAACGCGAGGACAGAATGACCAAAGCAATGGCGTAGCCACTACTTCAAGGAAAGAAAATACAGAATGCAAACATGGCGAATTAACAAGGGGAAACCTCCCCCTTCTTCCGAAATATATAAAACATACATACAAAGTCAACTATACAACGAAAAAGAAAGATAGATATAAAAAGATACATAGAACGCTGGACAGAAATAAAATAAAAACGGCTTCGACGCCACTGACCAATAAGTCAATGAATTAAAACTGACAGGAAAATGATAAAAGAAACCATAGACACAAGAAGAACTGGAGATTCATAAAAAAAGGAAAAGTCACGTAGAGGACAGTGCAAACAGACTTGAAAAACATGAAACCGGAATGGTCAAAACAATGGCGTAACCACCGTTCCAAGGAAATAAAACAGACAGATACCAAATTATTATTATTACCAATCATAAGCCAGCGGTACAATTTTACCCCTGAAAGAAACATCACACGAATAAAGAGTGATGGAAGACTCCTACGAAACAATTCAAACAAAAACAGGACAAACAAATAACGAACGAAAAATATTCTTTACAGAAAAGCTATGGACACGACAAGAGCGAGCTGAAAAGTCATAAAAAAGGGAAAAAGTCACGTAAAGGAACGGGCAAACAGACCTGGAAAACATAAGATCGGAATGATCAAAGCAATGGCGTAGACACTGTTCCAAGGAAATAAAACAGGCAGATACCAAAAATTATTACTATTATTAATTATAGATTCATGACACAATCTTTTCCCCTAAAAGAAAACATAACACAAACAAAAGAGCGATAGAAAACCTATACGGAAACAATCTAACGATCCGACAAAGCCAAACAATAAATAATAAGACAAAAGTACACCGTGGAAATAATCGAATCCGACATTGTTGGCTTGATAACAACCCGAGAAAACCGAAGATTACGCAAAAAGATAAGACGAATAAACGAAAAAGAAGAGACGAGAGAAAATATGAACACGACAAGAACGAGCTGAAAAGTCATAAAAAGGGAAAGGTCACGTAGAGAATCACGCAAACAGACCTGAAAAACATGAGGTCGGAATGGTTAAAGCAATGGCGTAACCACTGTTCCAAGGAAATAAAACAGGCAGATACCAGAAATTATTACTATTACCAATTATAGATTCATGACACAATCCTTTCCCCTAAAAAGGAACGTAACACGAATAAAAAGCGATAGAAAATCTATGCGGAAACAATCCAATGATCCAACAAAATCAAACAACAAATAATAGAACAGGAATATACCGTGAAAACAATCGAATCCGATATTGCTGGCCTGATAATAATCTGAGAAAACCGAAGACCATGAAAGAAGGTAAGACGAATAAACGAAAAAGAAGAGACAAGAGGTGAGTAGAAAAACATAAAAAATAGAAATCATGTAAAATCAAACGCATAGAGCAAACAAATAACGAACGGAAAATATTCTTTACAGAAAAGCTAAGGACATGACAAGAGTTGAAAAGTCTTAAAAAAGGGAAAAGTCACGTAAAGGATCGCGCAAACAGACCTGGAAAACATGAGGTCGGAACGGTTATAGCAATGGCGTAGTCACCATTCCAAGGACACAAAACGGACAAAATACTAAAATTATTATCAATTATAGATCCTACAATGTAAACCATGTAAGAAAACAATACCATCTAACCAAAATAGATCTGAGACACAACCAGATCACGGATGTGGAGTATCTGCAATATTTAAATAAGTCTAAGATAAACGAACCTTAATTAGATGGCAATCCGCTGCATGAGAAATACAACAAATATCAGGACTATAGATAAGTAATGAGGAAAGCATTCCTACATTTGAAAAATTAGATGAAGTTGCCAGAGGCATAGAGCAGAAATTTGTTCCCAACGTCTAAAGGAATTATTTAAGAGATGGCAGGAACACCAGTTTGATCAAACAGCTCGTGAAACATTATTTTACTCTGTACGATCAAGATGACAGATAAATAAGGAATGGGTTGTACGAGAGAAACGAGCTTCATTCGATGACGCTGAGACATGTCTCAAATTACATTCATAAACAGTTCATCAAAATAGTCGCCATGAACAAGAACTTGTTGAAACTCGTTGATTATTTGTCAAAGGCACATTCCCCTTCCCTCAAACTGGAAAACACGACGAATTGATGAAAGGGAAATCTCCCCCTACTTCCTAAATATAGTAAAAAATACGAAATCAACCATGCAACGAACAAGGAAAAAGATAGTTATTAAAAGATTCATAGAACGTTGGATAGAAATAAAATGGAAAAAAGGCTTTTACGCCACCGGTCACTATGCCAAAGAACTGAAACTGACAGGTGAACAACAAGAAAAGCTGAGATAAAGAATAAAACAGACACCACAAAAATCATTATTCATCAATTCATGATATAAAATTCTACTCCTAGAGAGAACGCCATGCAAGAGAAGAATAATGGGAAAAACTTTATAAAAAACAATCAGACATAGCCCGACGAAACCAAACGTTGATTAACGAGACAGAAACACCGTGAAGGACAAACGAAACCGATACCGCCGGATTAAAAATAATATGGGAAAACCGAAGACCACGCAAAAAAGGTAAAATGAATAAACGAAAAAGAAGAGATGAGAGGTGGGTAGAAAATATATAGAGAATAAAAAACCATTTAAAGTTAAAATGTATAGGATAAATAAGTAACGTATGGAAAAATTCTTTACAGAAAGACTATGAACACGACAAGAACTGGAAATTCACCAAAAAAGGGAAAAATCACGTAGAGGACCGTGCAAACAGACCTGGAAAACACGAGGTCGGAATGGTCAAAGCAATGGCGTAACCACCATTCCAAGGTAATAAAACAGACAGACACCAAAAATTATTATTATTACCAATTACTGATTTGCGATATAATTCTACTCCTAAAGGAAACATTATACAAATATAGAGC